AGTTCTTGAGCTCGTGTGAATTTACGCCAGCACTTGGCAAGTGCTCGCGTAAATTCACACGAGCACATGAATAAAAAATAAATTTCATCTACTCGTGTGAATTTACACGAGCACTTGGCAAGTGCTCACGTAAATTCGCACGAGTAGATGAATTTTCGGGAAAAAAACGAAAAACTTACATTCGGGTCTAAGTTGTTTGGATCCATCGCAAAAATTGTTGAATATCTGAAATTTTTCACTTTGAATGTTGAGTTTTATATTTTATAGGATTTGGTAGGAATAGTACAAAAGGTAAATAATTATGGTAAAAAGGTAAAAAAACCATGGTAAAAAAGTGCCTGAATGTTTAATTTGGCATGCGTATATCACCACCCTTTGGAGTTTGGTCCCAACTCCAAACTTTTGTTGATTTGATGGGACTGCATATCCATTTCCATTCCTGCCGACAACCTTTTTTTTTTTTAATTTTAATTTTATTTTATATATATAACCTAATTAATAATTATAATTGCATGTAAGAATTCAACGCACTTAATTACCTTTGGTTACATGCAATTATTTTGGCACACGAGGACAGTGTTACACTAATTAATCTTATAAAGTTGTTAAAGTTGATTTTGAATGATAATTACACAAACTTTAAATCTTTCAATAAAGCAATTCATGAATTTCGTAGAACAATAGTGATGGAACAAAAAAATTACTTAATCCAACCAGTTGCTCTCGTTAACGGAAATTTATATATTAATTTAATTAAGAAAAACACGACTCTTCGACTAATTAATGTCTATGAAAAAATCATCACAACCCTTGTAAACTATATAGGATTTCATAATTCTTATCTATGAATATAATTGGTTGTCCTCTTCGTCTGAGAGATCGAGCATGATTTATACCTAGATGAACTTTACAGTTCAAAAATTCCATTGGGTACGTAAAAACAGAATTAGAGTCGGAAGGTTAATTGGATCAACACGTAAGAATCCATATCGGTTATTTATTGCCCTTCTTTTGTTCTGATCCATGCATTGCACTGAACTTAAATATTCATCGTAAATGGAAGTTATTTTCAAGAAAAAAGTTAAGAGGGGAAAAAAATAAACAGATAAAAAGATCGTCATGTGCATGTAAAAAAGTAACAGCATCCATAAAGTTTTAGGTCTTTATTCAAGATTCATTCTTTGTAGCAAATACATTCGAAACCCGGAAAAGATATAATACCTTCTGCCATATCGAGGGCGTCTTTTATTTTCGTTGGAGAGATGTCAAATGTTAAAAAAAAAAATTAGATATGTGTGTTGTCCATTGTCAATTCTTAAAAAGTCGAGAAAAAAATTATATCCAGGGTTTATCGAATTTTATTTAATGGTGAACTGATTCATAAGTTGTAAGCTAGCTAAGACGTGTTTGATTAATTAGTTTGATCCTACCAACCATCATTTGATTTCAATTTTTAATTAACTACGAAAATTACATAATAATTTTACTGTTAGCTAGGTTTAAGTTACTATTAATTAATTAGTAAATAGAATAAATGAATATATATAATGGTAAACCATGCAACTATGCATGCATGCAGTCACACAAACATCTTTAATTAGCAGAAAGGAACTTTGAATTTTTTATTTAAATAAATATATTGGAATATTAAGACACAATTTTTTTTTTTATGAGGTAGGAATATTAAGACACAATTAATATTACATAAATAATGATCCTTAAAATAAGGTACAACATATGCCAAGTGTTCAAGAATCTCAAATTATAGCCTCAAAACTAATCATTAACTGCCAAACTAGAATAAAACCAAAAAAAAAAAAACAGAAAATAAAATAAAATAAAATAAAAGAGAATCTACGAAAATCCTAAAACAAAAGCAAAGCCTCAATTTTCACATGACCATGCAGCAAAACCTGGTTTCTTCAAAATAATGCAAACCCTACTATATATATAATGGAAATAAAAAAGAATTAAAATAAAAATAAAAAAGGAAAGAAAAAAAAAGTTTGGCATTTTAGGGATTAGTTAATGAGCCATGATTAATTAATCTTTTAGAATATTAATATTGTAGCTGCTGCGCGGTCGAATATGCTAAGATTTGGTGTAAACCGGCGAGTTTGTGTTGAAGGTAGATTGACTCGGACAGTAACCGGTCCGAGCCACTCTGCACCAAGTGACAATCATGACTCAGCACACACAACATATTTTTCAGTTCCCGATTCTCGATTTTTAACCGGTTCACTTCATTCGTAATATTCTCTACGTGGGTCTTTTTTCTCCGACGCGATCTTCGTGCAGATTCTCTGTTGGAAGCCATGCGCCTGTGCTTTCGTTCTTCGACGGTGTAGATTGAACGGTTGGTTTCAGAGCTAGAAGATGAACGGTTTGATGATGGTTGTTGTTGTGGTTCGAGTACTAAGGAAAAGAGTTCATGGATTTCATTAGGAGTGAGAGGGTTATGATTTTCTTCAAGAACCGGGTTTTGCATGTGGTGAACCGGGTTCTCAACAGACATCATGGTTGGGGTTTTTTTTTTGAACCGGAGGGAGGGAAGGAGGGGAAAAGGGAAGAAATGATGTATTCGAGAGGGGTATTTATGGAGGTTGGGGCGAGAAAATTTGTGGGTCCCACTTAATTTTTTGAACTTTTAAAAGTAGATATGATTTAATTTCACAAATTAATTATAAGAAAAGAAATAGTGGTTAAAAGTGTTGTTTTAGGTCGGTCAAATTGAAGAGATACCGAGAGAAATAGTGCATGCATTCACCTATTAACTAAATTAATTAAAGTTAGATAATATTATTGAAGGAGATATAAATTTATCTATGGTTGAACCTCTACAAAATAATGGAGTTGGAATTAGCAAAATTCGATTAATTTAGAAAAATATTAAACTATCAAACTAAAAAATTAGTAGATTTTTAACGAATGGAGACAAAAAAAATTACTATTTAAACAAGATTATTAATTTATTGAGTTAAATATTATTAATTTATTGATGTTCTACTGTAATTTACATTGTTTTAATGATTTATCCAAGCATAATATATAAAAGGGTAAATTACAATCACCCCCCTAAGGTATGGTCAAATTACAAACCCCCCCTCTTGTTTGGATAATTACAACCACCCCCCTCAACTATAAATCTTTTTACACGTCCACCCTTGTAGTTTCAAATTTCGTCGAATTTACGAGATTATATGGATTATTATCACTTTTATACCCGTTTTATCCGATTCGAACTCCACATTTTGAAGCAAGATGATCATAATATGTGTTTTTAAGCTTGTATATATCAGATTGTGGTGCATCAGAAACTGTATTTTTACACAAAACGAGTACAAACTATAGCACATTTCACGAAATCTAGATGATTATGTTGAATTTGATACCATAAGAGTGGAGGTGTAAGAAAAAATCATAGCTGAGGGGGGTGGATGTAATTATCCAAACAAGAGGGGTTTTTTTTGTAAATTGACCATACCTCATGGGGTTTGGTTGTAATTTACCCTATATAAAAAGAATTATATATAATTAATGTGAGTTGTTGTTAGGTGAGTGTCTGCTTTATTCAGGTGGGGGCACAGTGTATCTATGTTACTGACAATTAGCTTAATGACGAAGAATCAAAGAAGAAAAAATGAGATTAATTTTAAAAGTGTGCTTAGCCAATTAATGACACCCCAGCCCAAATCATGTGGGTTACGACGACGTATTGCAATAAAGTTGGACAATGTGTGGAATATTCAATATATATATACACTATGTCATTGCTTTTCTCTCTCATAATTTAATTTCCCCATTTTCTTGTGGATCTATTATCTATCCACGTAATAATTAAAATCAATAATTTATTCAAAGTTACAATATTTAATTAATCTTCACTTAGAATATTTAAAAAACCGAAAAAAAAAAGAAAAAGGAATTATCAACACAACACATGCATAACACCTTATAATAAAAACAAAAGTTCGAGTTACCAGGTTCTGAAATTCACGTGTACATTCGTCCTTTCTCCAACATTAATTTGTTAAGTTGTTATATATTTCGTTGTGGGCTCGTTTGATTACCGTTATAAGGTTCTACAGACAAAAACTTGGTCGAACACTGTGTATTAGAATTCGATTGTCCTATATATCGTGTGCATAATGTATGTATTAACGAGATTATTCCCAATCAAATATATATTTGTATACGTATGTAGATACATAATGAAAAATTATCAACATATTTTACCGGGTGTAACATCGAAAAATTCATAAGTACGTAGCCTACTTCGTTTGGTCGGCAGTTGGTTTCTGTTTACTCGGCCTCTAACTAACATAGAGTGGGGAGTAACATGCAATGAATCTTAATTTCTGCTACATATTAATTAATTATCATGTTTCTTAATTATGAGCAAAATTAGTTTCAACTTTATTTAGCATGCCTAGATTCTCTCTTGTCTTTAGTTTTGTTTTGCATCTCAAAGTAGGGTTCATGTGCTTAATTCCAGTTAACCTTTTACGTACTAATTAATTAATTAAAATAAAGAAAAGATTGATAGTATTCAAGTATTTCATATTATTAGTAATAACTAATCAATTATCATTAAGTTTGTATATAATATATTATAATGTAGGAGAAATTGATAATTTCAAATTTCAAGTGGATTGGGATTGGGTCAACGAGATGGGCTTAACGCCTTAGCTTTGACCCATCTGCAGTTGACCGAATTGGTCAACGATATAACTTATTTTTTTGATCTTATTGTTGAAAGATAGCTATAATCTAAATTAAATGGAGCAGACCACGATAATAATGGTGTACATTTCATTTAAAGTTAAAATCATATTGTAAATTGTAATAACTTTGGAATTCCATGTAAAGTTTTCTTGATTTTGCATTTATTGCCTTATTAACAAAATATTGCATGATTTACGCCATGTGATCTTGTTATAAATTCAACCTTATTTATTACTATTATTTTCATTTTTTTCCCTATAAATAAATAAAATCATCCAAAGCACATTGGCTTATTAACAAAATGGAGCATAAATATATCAACATGATTGTGATCCTAACTCTCCTATTCTCTCTAGCAAGTTCGTC